CCAATATATGCCTTTTTTATCTAATATATTTAAACATATTGAAAGCTATTTTTCTATAGACTATACTGCAATGTATAAAAATTAAAAGAGGGTTTGCATTGCTGATCAGTGATAAACCCTCCAGAAGTTTTGTCAATTTAAGCTACAGGCCGTTCATTAATGTATTAGGCTGAATTTATTATACCGTCTGCATGTATATATATGAGAAAACAATATAAAATGAATGAATAAATAAAAAGGTCAGGTGTTGATATTAAGAATAAAGAAGGCATATCCTGACCAGGAGTACATGTAATTTTTTAGATGGCAGAGCGCCATCTATTAGAACAGAAATAAACTAAACATTGATTTAACCTATTCCCTGATATTTGGCCATTCCATTTTTTTGGTATATCAAGAAAAGCCATCCACAAATGTTGGCCAAATATCAGGGAACAGGTTAAATCAATGTTTGGTTGATTTCTGTTCCACTAGATGGCGCTCTGCCCTCTAAAAAACACATATGCTCCTGGTCAGGATATGCCTTCATTATTTTAAATATATATATTTTGTATATTTTTTATATATGTGTGATTTTAAAATAAGGTTAATGGGTTTTTAAAAAAAGCCACGAACCTTTTTTTTTAATATGCTTTGAACTTATGCGCTTTTATTTAACAACTAAATAATTAAAACTGTACTGATATAAAAATAGTTAGCTTTTTTATATTTATTGTTGTGACCTCTTCAAAGGTAAATTCATCAGATACTGAATAATATTTAGTACATAGAACATAATTTTTCACAGATATTGTTTGATTTTCAAGAGACCAGAATCAGCCAAAAAAAAACGATAATTTATTTATAGCTTTTTTGTTGAATTTTGAAAGAAATTTTATATATAACCTATATATCATATATCTTATAACCTATATCCATACGGACAAGACACCTCAGTTGGCCGGTATTGTGATCAGGGTGCATGGACCGATCTGATCAGCTCCATGGACAAGACACCACCACACCTCAGTTGGCCGGTATTGTGATCAGGTTGCATGGACCCATCTGATCCATAGACAAGACACCACCACCACCTCAGCTGGCAGGTATTGTAATCAGGGTGCATGGACCGATCTGATCTGTTCCTTGGACAAGACACCACCTCAGTTGGCCGGTATTGTGATCAGGGTGCATGAACTGATCTGATCCATGGACAAGACACCACCAGCTTTTAACCTATATATATTATAATATATTCGCGCTAAAGGTCAAACATATAATATTTTGTGAATCTATGTATTCTAATTGAAGAGGATATCTTAATATTAAGCATATATATAATATTATATCGAATAAATTATAGCTATAAATCTACATATTCCCATAGACTCTCTCTTTGTAAATTCGAAATTATTTTTTATTCTTCTTACATTCCCTTTTTGTATCTCTCGAAGGAATCTGTTTATAAGAATAAATGTCTTAATAAAATTATTGATTAATACATAGCAATAACGCGTCATCTATATAATACAAATGAAAACAGAAGTTGGTGGCCGGCTTGGCTGTTCTTTTTGAGCGGTACGTAATAAAGTTATTTTGAACAGGTTATCACTCTCTCATGAGATCTTGGCATATATATTTTAATAAGGAAATATAAAACGGCCTTAATTCTTCAATTTGAAAAATAAATCTAACATATTCAGAATTTTATGAAAAGAGCATTAAATTCGACTAATAGAGAGATTGATGGTTACTTCACCTACCTTAGGTGGTGCTGAGGATGAATGATCCGGTGTCCGATGGTGGCGGTATATGAGATACCGTTGCATCAGCCAGTACTGGGCGGAGTCCAAGGACCACGGAACCGGTAAACTCTCTTCTCTCTCTCTAATTGACATTTGATTTGATCTTCCTTTGTAGATATCAATCAGGCTTAATTCAACACCTCGTATAGTTATCATTGATTTATGGAATGGTAAAACATTATCGACTATGTAAATTGTAGACGGAAAATTTGCCGGGAGGAAATTAATCCATAGAAGCAATGGGCGCTTCTCCCGTCAAAATAAATAGCCCGAAACCATGTTCTCTAGGTGGACGCTTATCAGTTTGCCAAAGTTGGTGTTGTGGCTTTGTCACCGACCCGATGCCGCTATTGTGGCGACGGTCAATAGATGGCGTCAGATTCTGACGTTTATTTTGACGGGATGAGCCCATTGCTTCTATGTAAATTGTATCACATGTTTCAACTTCAAAATGAGAAACTGATCCATATTTATTATTTATACTCGACAGTTGGCGACTTTTGTTCGTTCCAGGAGTCCAGAGTACATAAAACTCCGCCTTTGCCGGTCCCAAGCCCGGTGAAAAGGAGGAGAGGGAGCAGTAACAAGCTCATTAAAAAACCTGGGCTCAGCTGGCCTTGCTGATAGTACCCTGTAAGGGCTCCTAATCCAGGGATACAGGATGAGCAGCGTTTGTACTGCATGTTAGGAGCGGCTGCACATGGTATCTGTTCCTCATGTCAGAGGCGGCCATTTCTTTTGAAGCTAAGTCGGCCTGCCACTGAGTAGTGCTCCCAGTCTCAATGACAAGGCAGACGCATTCGCATCTACTCCCCCAGTCATGATGGTTGTCAAACAACCTTGATACCCTTATATGATAAATGGAGATAAGAAAGAAGAAGAAGAAGGAAGTGTGCATAATAAAAGAAGATATCAACAGCTATAGAGCTGCCTGTCCAAAATTATTCAGCAACGTACAATCTTCAAACCAGATATCGCAGTCGTAGTGCCGTTCTCACCAATTCCGTGAGCTTTCACAAACTGGAATCATCTAAAACAAACGGTCAGATCATGCAGCCCTAGTGCCATCTTGATAAATTCTTTAAGCATTTGCAGAGTGCGGCCTATAAAACCAGAGGTCATTACCTACAGCCTTGATGCCGCTTTGATCGAAATTTTGATACCCTTCCTCTTTACAACCTGTAGTATCTGAAACAAATGGCCTGGTCTTGCAGCCGTGGTAAGCTCTACTGGTAAACTCTTTCTCTCCCTATCTAACATGTTTGATTATTCTTTGTTGATATCAATCAGGCTTAATTTAACACCTCATATAGTTATCATTGATTTATATAATTGTAAAAGATTCTCTGTTATGTAAATTGATACCATTATAAATTTTTAGTTCAAAATGAGAAATCTATCAGCGTTTTAAAAATCAACTGGTGTTATCGGCGACTCACTGTTGTTATTTTTAAGGTAAAAAGTTGCTCGTACAGTAGAACCTTCCTGTAAAGGACAATACCTAATTGCAGATCCAAACTGTCCTTTAGGGAGAGGTGTCCGGTTACCGTAGAGTTGTTAAATTGTTAAAACGGTCATTTTGCAAATAAAAAAGTCCTTTGTGGAGATGTGTCCGCTAAAGGGAGGTTCTATTGTATATTATAAGTTTTATAACAAGAACATAAGAGACTTCTTGAAGTAAAAAATTGTCTTAATATTATTCTTCTTATTATTATCTTTCCCCTCCCTTGTTACACGTGGTACAAGAAGTTGATAATCATCGTGGGTAGAAGTTGGCGACTGCTTCACTGCAATAGCACTAAATATCTAAATTATAGAAAGCAGTTCAAAATTTGCACTTACAAATGTTAAAATACAAACATTAGGCCTCTAGTGAAAAGTTTCTTTTAACAAATCATGTATTTATAAATATCTATAGCTTTCGGACAAGAAAACCCTTCTACGGAAAAAACTATTTACATTTACTCGCCAATAGAAGAGGAATTAAAATTAAATAAAATGCAACCGATGTTTACAGCTATTTGAATGAAGGATCAGCGCGGGCCTCCATTGCGAGTTTGTCTTTCCTAATTGCCTACGTAAATTTTGATGGAGATGCTGGGTAGATTTGGGAAGACAAAACAGAAGATAACAGAATACTTTGAGGTGCTGGGAGTTACATTTTCATCTAATTATTTCAGGATTCCGCAGCTGTATTAAAGTCAAGACTTCCCTCCAAGATGACGATGTCCCTATAGACGATACGACGACAAAGCTGCTCTTCACCCGCAAGAAATAGGACGTTAAAGTATTAGGGACAAAGTTCCAAGACTTACGAGGGAATCCTCGACAGAAGCACGTCAGATCAATGTCAGAATCAACAATATTGCCACGTGGAAAATTACGGAAGACAAAAACTTCAGGATGACACAGCTCTCTCTCTCTTCTCTTGAGGTAACCCGGATTCCTGGAGCCACGCACTAAAGAAAACACATCAATTTATTCATAGCAAGAACAAACTATGTAGGATAAACAAAAGATAAGGAATGAGAGAAATTTACAGAGTAGTAGATTATAAACATGTGGGAGCCAAGAGACTTCCTTCCAGCCTGCTGGGATGACAGACCACGGCAAACATACAAGTGGGGCCTGGAAATAGGAGATGACAATTGACAATTAAAAACAGTTTATTGACATCTAGTCAACAGTAGGGAGAGAGGTTACAGGTTAAAATAGGGAGAAATATTTACAACAGACGGAGGGATGTCTGGATTTCATCAGGAGCTTAAAGCCACCTTGAGTTCGGACAGGCTGTTGCGAGTTATGGAATCCTTGTCCCAAGCATGCTCGATGACAGTGTTAAGGAATTTGACATGAATGATCTTGTGTTCAGGGGCGAGAGTTCAGCGAGGAAATGCTCTCTAAGATTGGGGTACAGGACCGCAAGCACGACATTGGGAAGGAGTTATGCAGTGAAATAATTATATTTAATGAACAGATTATCAATTTTCATAGTTATATATTATTTTGTGCTACTCTGTAAACTTCATTTTATGCTTATTTATTTTTAGAAATTTTAGTTTGAGCCTGTGCTTAAAATAAATTACTGTGTCATCCTGAAGTTTGTCTTCCCTAATTTCTTACGTGACAATTTATGGACAGCCAACTGTCTAGACGTCCTCTAGCGGTGATCTCTCATTTCAACATTATCAAACCCTTTAGGTCATTTATTTATATCCCTCGATAGCTCAGTTGGCAGAGCGGAGGACTGTAGATGTTTCAACGGTGATCCTTAGGTCGCTGGTCCGGCTGGAAGGACTTTTTTTTTGTAAGTTAAATTAATTAAAAAACGAATAAAATAAATACATATTTTAAAAGATCAGATTTCTTTACAGAACCATTTACATATTAATAAATCTTAAATGAATATTATTATATGAATATGAAACAAATTCACAAAAGCGCAATTTTACTGATAATGCCACCCAACCATTAGTAACTTTTAGTTGCATGACCAGAAGATGTCATTTTCTTAATTTTACTTTTGTTATTTTTTAAATAATGAAATAATCAGTTTCCTATCTCTCTATTTAATAGATATATCTAAAAAAAAACTTTAGATATATACATAAATTATTATTATATTTGATTTATTATTGTAAATAGTTTTCACGCGAAATTATACATATCGGATATAGCGTGTCTTATTTGCAACTGGTAATAAATAAATTATATATATATTCAAAAAAAAAAAAAACTCAAGTATTTTATTTAAAAAAGTCATCTGAAAAATAAAAAAAAAAATTCCTCGAGGCGGATTTGAACCAGCGACCTAAGGATTACCGTTGAAACATCTACAGTCCTCCGCTCTGCCAATTGAGTTATCAAGGGTTAAGAATTTTTGAACTAAAATCCTATAAAAGCGTTGAAATGAAAGGTCATATACAGGTCATATACTGCTAGAGGGCGTCTGGACAATTAGCTGTCCATAATATGAAATCATTATACCAACATATTGACTCATCCATTGATGAGCTCTACTCATCCCCAGCAGACACCATCAACAAGCTTCACAAGCTTGATACCCTAATATGATTGAGAGGAGATAAGAAGGAAAGAAGAAGATGAGATTTTACCAACGTGTGTACAATTACTTAATCTACATTGGAATGGAAGATGAAACAATTCATGAACCATTTTCTTGAAACAAAAGTTCCAGGTCGTTCTCTTCATCAATAAATAAAAGCTAAACACAATAACTTTTCGTACTTTCAGCAGTGGGGGTTATTGGAAGGATGGTCTGCACCATTGATTTTCGATCGCTATGACCCGGGTTCGATTCCAGGATTGAGATATTTTTCTGATAAAAAAAAAATGCTGCAATGGCCTCCGATTCTTGCAAAAGTCCAACCCCACTAGCGGTGCAAGTAACCAAACGGGTCTCTGGCACATTTGTAAGTGTAAAGTCGAACTGCTTTTCACATGTGTAGACATGTGGTGCAGTTACAGTAAAAGCAGTCCCCTATTTCTACCCACAATGATTATCATGGCCTGTACCACGTGTACTAGGAATAAACAAGCAAAAAAACTTTCAGCAGTTAAATATTCCAAAATGTATAAACCGAAGAGATACATGTTTGAGCCTAAAAAACATATACTTATGAATTTAGGGGGAAAGTTATCAATGCTGTAAGGGCAGTGGTAAATTGTTCAATTTTTAAAAGAAACATACGCGTCTACAATAGTTTTAATTTCTCAATACAGATGGCGTGCAAATCCATCATATTTAAAAATATAGAGGTTGTGTGTGTGTTAAACAGTTTATATATCTCTCTCATGACTGGGTGAAGTAGAATGCGTCTGCCTTTGTCATTAAGACTGGGAGCATTACTCAGTGGCAGGCCGACTTAACTCCAAAAGAAATGGCCGCCTCTGACATGAGGAACAGACACCATGTACAGCCGCTCCTAACATGGAGTACAAACGCTGCTCATCCTGTATCCCTGGATTAGGAGCCCTTACAGGGTACTATCAGTCGGGCCAGCTGAGCTCAGGTTTTTTAGGTAGCTTGTTACTGCTCCCCCTCCTCCTTTTTCATCTGGGCTTAGGACTGGCAAAGGCGGAGTTATGGTTTCTTTGTGAATGATGATATCAACAATAATTCATAATTCTATAACAGATTTGTATTAATTGATTAATGAACCAGGCGCGGTAGTGAAATATTTGCGCCTAATACAGAGAAAACAAAACAGCAAACAAATTAGAACTAATATTATAAATAAATGAAGCTTCCAGAGCTATAAGTTTCTTGTACAACTTTTTATTTTCAAGCTTTCAGATTTGTCAGTCCTTTAACAGGATTATCACGTTAACAACTTGATAATAAATACAATTTTTATATACACATTATTGTATACATATTTTAAATATATTTATATTTTGAGAGAAAAATATATTACATTATTTCTCTTTGAAAATTAAAATTTTGAAAAATAGAACTAAGGATTAAATATTTACAAATTTAAATGAATTTTTCGAAATACGAGTAGTTCATAAATTTATATAGACAAAGTGGCTGAGGTAAAAGAGTTAGATCATTTAAATCGGGAACAATCGATGTCTCACTTCTGTAAAGTTCGGACAGTGGTAGATAAGGTGAAGGGCAGTTTGTTCAGTTTCTTTGCAGGAACAATTTGGTGTTTCTGATAGATCTCTTCTATTGAACGTCCTTTCAAGAAACCGATTTGTGTTCAGCAGGGGAATTAAATAATCCATCATTTTTCTGACAATCAATTTCTCAAAGATTTTTGCTAAGTTGGGAAAGAAGCTTTCCATAACAATTTTTCTCATAATCAAAATTGCTAAAACTACAATCTAATTTAGGTCTCAAATCACAAATTTTCTCTTGAAATTTTTTTAAAATGCCAGCTTTATATAATTTTAATCATTTTTTTTGGGGGAAATATATTCTTAAAATTTTGGCGAAGGTGTATTTCATACATATTCATTATATGATTTTTCCACAAAATATAAATATATAAAATTTGAAATTGAATGGATATATTTTTATTCATACAAATATATTTCATAAATAGCACCTTTTTGCTTTTACACAATACTGTCATCTATTGGAAGTTTTTGTAACTATTTATAAATTGGCTTGATACAATTTTGGCCTGTTACTGGAACAAATGTTTACTGAAATATCTTTTTTACCAAATTTGAATATACCATTTATATTGATATGGTAACAAATTATATATTATTCTATTAGCAGAGTATCATTTTTATGTTTATATTTTGCTATTCTGTAAACTTCCCTCTTTGCTTATCTTTTGTTTATTACTCATAGTTTGTTCTTGCCTGAAATAAATTGTTGTTTCATCCGAAGTTGATCTTCCCTAATTTTTTACGTGGCATTTTGGTGGAGATGCTGGGTAATTAGGGAAGACAAACTGAAGATCGTCTAAAAGTCCTTGAAGCCATGGGTGCTGTGATCTACATTTTCGGAGACTGGCTCCAGGATTCCACCGATGTGTCAAAGCCAAGACTTCCTTTCAAGATCACGATGTCCCTATAGACGATACGACGACAAAGCCTCTCTTCACGCCGCAAGAAAAAGGAGGCAAAGGTACTAGTGACAAAGTTCCAAGATTTCGATGGAATCCTTGGCAGAAGCACGTCAGATCCATGTACGCATCTACAATAATTGCTAGCTGTGGGTCACAGCTCCCATAGGAAAGGAACTATGTAACAAAGTATTTATTCTTTTCTTTGCTTATCTTTTGTTTCATCACTGATAGATTGTTCTTGCCAGAAATTTATTATTGACTCAATCCGTAGTTGGTCTTCCCTAATTTTCCACGTGGCAATATGGTTGCTGCCATATAGTGACATAAATATATAATATAAATAGTCTGCAGCACGCTGACGAGGGCCAACAGCCCGAAACGCGTTCGTGGTTGACTTTTCTTGATTTATCAAGAAATTTGGTTGGCTAAATATCACGGAACAGGGTTGGTATACAAATTTAGTTAAATTAAATCAAATTGTGTGTAAAGAGTTTTGTGTATTCAAGAAAAACAATTTACAGATTAAAGAAAGTTTTAAGGAATATTTTAGAATGAAAATATGCAAGATATTAGAGAATTATTTAATGAAAAGGCATATATTATATTGAATGAAGATCTTTTTAACCAATATTTCAGTTGGCTGAATGCCAACCTTTGTCATGGCACTATTATTCATAAACAAAACAAACAACGAGGCTAGGTTGGTTTGTAAAAATGCAATGCCTTGACAAAAATTGGCGTTTAGCCAACCGAAATATTATTTTTAAATGTTTGTATTCAATCCAATATATGAAAAAACAAAAAAATAAATAAATAAAAAGGTCAGGTGTTGATATTAAAAATAAAGAAGGCATATCCTGACCAAAAGCACATGTGCTTTTCAGATGGCAGAGCGCCATCTAGTGAACAGAAATCAAGTAAAAACTGATTTAACCTGTTCCCTGATATTTTGCCAATCCAATTTCTTGATAAATCAAGAAAAGCCATCCACGAACGCGTTTCGCGCTGTTGGCGCTCGTCAGCGTGGTGTAAGCTGTACCACTGCGACCAAAAATATTTTTGATTCCAGAGGCTTCTTGTGAGAAACCAAAAAATGGGTATTAATGGCTAAAAAAAAAAAACTTGCGTAAAGTCTTACCTTCTTTATTTTAAATCCAATTTATGTCTTTTCAACGTTCTCGTTCCCAAGCGAAGTGGAGAGGAATTTCTCGCATCACACCGTCCAATCACGATGCTGCCTGGTTTGGGCAAGATCCTTGAGCGTCTAGTTCTTTCTAGGCTGTCGTGGATGGCCGATAGGATGTGTAAAGCGCCTCCAAACCAGTTCGGATTTAAGCCTTGTAGATCTACTACAGTAAATAATGGTTTAATTTCTCATGTCCCAATAAATGAAATCATGTTCTAAAACTGGCATTATATATTAAAAGATGTTTTGACTTTTGACCTTTTTCGATGTTCTATCCACTTTGACTTGTATAAATATACACTGCGTGACATTGAAAATGGAACACCAAGAAATAGTGGCCAGAAAGTGATGAAACTCGGCAGACAGAGAGAGACAGGGACGAACAATAAGTGATCTTTATTTCAAAATGATAGTCATAATACAGAGCGAGAACGGCGTCGGCTTAGTAGCAAGTAAACCACCGCGGACGGCGATGCACGCAGCAACACGTCTAGGTAGAGAGTCAATCAGAGTACGGATGGCGTCCTGAGGGATGGCTCTCCATTCCCTCTCAACCATTT